AGTATCACCGTTGCGTATCAATGTGGACGGGCAAACGTTGCATCGTTGTGTATGAAAATCTAGTACGAAGATACATGAACTGACCGGTCGGTCATTTGTCAGTTTTTCGTCGTCACATCAAAGGATGTCGCGATATTCATTTGAACAATTGCGGCGAACAATCTTGTACTCAAGAATCTGGATTAAAAAAAAGTAAATATTTAAGGGGACTTTCTCATTCAAAATTGAAAAGAAAAGACACTTTTTTAATATTTCTTTGTAAAAAAACTATTATATTTCGAAACATAATTCCTTTTGGACGCTATTATATATATTATTAAGAACATAAAGAAATTTTTTTCTAGCACTTTTAGTTCACCACGACCGCTGTAGAGGGCGTCTTCCAAAAAGCCACGTTTTAATCGGTGCGACACTTTGCAGACGTCCTGTAAAAAATTAAGTAAAAATTCAAACGGGATTCTATTCGTGAGACTTAAAACTAGACACTAAACCTCTAAAATATTTTATTCTTTGTATTTTTTATCGTTTTATTACGATATACGTTTTGATACGATACAATGATACGCAACGGTGATACGATACAATGATGCGTAACAAATGGATACGCAGCTTTATACATGGCAGTAACGAGTTACCCAAAGGAATCAACCTTCTGAAGAATCGAATCGGAATTGAACATCCCTAGTTCCAGTATCGGTGCTCCAGTCACTGTCTCGGCGCGCGCGCTCTCTCACGTTTCTCGTCGTGACGCGTCCTCGAGTTTGGAGGACGACAGGGGGGAATCGACTTTCGTTATCGCGTACACAACCGTGCGTTACGGGCTGTCGCTGACGGGCAATATAGTAGCCGCCGCGACAACAGGTGTTCTCCCGCCCCCGCGCTCTCTCTTTCTCACCAGTTCGCATCACTTCGATCGTCCTCTCGATGAGATCCGGAACGGGACCTGGAGAGTCCGTGTGATATCGTCATCGACCGAATCGTCCATAGGTAAATACATAACCGAGATCACCGGACCGAATTCCGATTTCACCGACCCGGGGATTTCCGGATGACAGACGGTTCGGCGTGTATAAAGCTGCGTCTCCACTTATACACGGCGTTAATTTTAAGTCGAGCACCTAAATTATTTCCGCTACTATTTAAAGTAAGGAAAAATGACTAAATAGGATGTACACGGAAAAAAAAAAGCGTGCATCTGATGGCGATAAATTCTTTTTTTTACTTCTTATTACGTTTATTTACTTCTGCATTCTTCAAACTGAAGCTGATTTCTTCGCCTTTGAGGTCACTTCGAGGTCATGGTGTGTAGGTCGTTGAACTCATCTTGACGCCGACTATCACATCGCGTAATAAGAAATATATGTTAATATGCAAAAAAATACGATGACCTTGAAACAACCGTTAAAATGACCTTTACGGGTTTTTTTTTATCATCAGATGCATGCCTTAAAACCATGTATATCTTATTTAGTTATTTTTTTCTTACTTTCAATAGTAGCGGAAATAATTTAGGTGCTCGAGTTAAAATTAACGCCCTGTATAGTAGAACAGTGTTATACTACAAATTGTCGTACAACCTTGCTATACAACATAATTTTATAACTTGTTACGAGACTATACCTTTTAGACAAGTCTGTAACAAGTTTGTATAACATATAGCTTGCTGTATAACACGAAAAATGTTATATAACATCACGGTATATAACATTTTTCTTTCTATTTTTCTAACAAGTCATAACTTTGCTATATGTTGCATAGTGTAGACGCAGCTTAACGCTCCGAATTTAGATCGGGCCGTTGCCGCGCGTGTCGTTCCGGTTCGCCGGACTGATACGCGCGGGGGTGGGGTTGGGTGAAGCTAGGTTGGGGGGAGAGGGTGACAACTGACTTTCGAACGGGAGCGCCATGTGTGAATAGACGGAGACGAATCGCAACGCGTGCGGAGATGCACGGTTGATATAGGGCACATGACAAACGCATCAATGAATTGACACTTAAGAGATTTTGTAACTATTAATGTCGAATTTTAAACGATAATAATGGTAATAAAAAAAAAAAAAAAATGTTTGTACCATATTACGACGTACAATTTGAAAAATTGGAAAAATGTAAAGACAAAATACAGATTTGTCAGTGAGTGAACAATATTAAGTGAATGAATATTTCTAATCAATGGCGGGAAAAAAGTCAATATTTAATCATTTCCTTATTTTAATAACTTAAATTATTCGTTTTTGTATACTAAGACCAAAAATTGCTTACAACATTGAAAATATTAATCTACCCCAGAAGTTACAAACCCCTTTTTTATTTTACCCTGTACAATGTTCATTCACTGGTATATATGTATACGTATTCGTTTACAGATGTATCCACCCTACGTCGGGAACGGGGAAAATACCTAACCTTACCAATCGCTCTCAAGACTAACATATGCCGCGCTCGCGAAAGAAACTAGTCGATCCGGTCTGTAGTTCGATTCGATCCGATCCAATCATTAATCCTCGTATCAAGTACCTATCTATCGAACCGTCCCACAGTAATCGAGATTCCAAATTGACCAGCTCACACGCTTATTTAGCCGAAACAATGAAAAATTGTATTCGAATAGAACTGGACAAACGGACAAATTTAATTATCAATTTTAGGGATCCTATTCAACAACATTATTATTTAATCAACGATGTTTTCATCATCTTCGCGAAAGTCGAAATTGTATTCCTATCTTCAGCTCAGGCTGATAATGAACAATATATATCCATTGAGAACAATAATGCGCGGAACAAATCTTCCATGGTTAATAACAAGTTTGTGTCATTTTTTTAAAAAACCAGGGACTTAAACCAGTATGATTTTGATACCGTTATTATGCCATCAAAGCTATACCGAAATCGATATATTACCGAAAATCGAAATAAATACCGGTATTTTTTAGGTTTCTATAAAGGTAGGGCTTATGTAGGGTTGTATAAGGCGAAGGTACAACCGAAAATACCGATATTTTAAGTTTCGAAAGAAGTCCCTCATGTAAACTAGTAAATTTTACTTCTGGACCAGTGTCTGCCCCAGTGTACTCGCGGCTGCAAAGGCGCGTCCAAAGATGAACAGAAAGAGAGAGAGAGACGAGAAACGATCGCCGTAGACCACGATGTACCAAGGAGTCTACTAGGAGGAGCAGCGTAGTGGGCGTTCGCGCACGCACGCACGTGGACAGCCGGTTCTGCATTAGTCCGAAGGATCGGACGCACGTGCTCGTGCATGCGTTAGCGAAAGTGGGGCAACACGGACCACCCACGTTCCTTCGTCTTCGTCTCGCCGGCTGTTTACGTACACGGTCCGACGCCTCGCGACCCCCTTAACTCCTTTTGAATTCCCTTCGGTGGATACCAAGCCATCACGTGTATGCATATACATACAACCTTTCTCCGTTACCCTTTCCACTACCCCCTGATGACGTTTGTCCATAGATATTGCGACGACGACGACAGTACTTATACTGGGGATACATATAACACCTGTTGCCTCGAGTGCCAAACTCGTTCCGACGGCGACTGACGTCAATTTTATTCCGCTCACCGATGATTCCTCGGTTTTTTCGGTGTGTGCCCATGGTTCCGGTTTCGTTCGTGACCTAACCGCGGTTCTTCGAACGAGAACACCAGCGGCTAAGGAACGCTGTATCGTGGTGAACGGTGAACGTAGTGTAGGAGAGAGAGGGACAGAGGGAGCTATCAACGCGAGAGACCACGGGGGCCCCATCCTGTCGCGTTCCTCCTTTCTTTCTTTTCTTTCCTCTCCTCTGTTTCTTTCTTTTCGTTCCTTTCATCATCCCGCCGCTTCGTCACCTCGCCCCGAGGCCCACGTTCCTCTTGTTCTTCTTCTTCTTCTTCATCGGCGCCGGCAACATTTTCGCCGCATCATCGATCCTCTTTCTCTTCTCCGCCCGCGTGTCCGTCTATCGTCAAGTAAGTACCTTTCTCTTTCTTTTCTCTTTCTCTCTCCGACATTCCCAGCCGCCCTTCCTCGTCTCTCTCGTGTCTGCTCTCCTCGCCTCCCTTTCGAAGCTTCTCGTATATTGCGCTCGTCGTACACGCTCGTTTTAATGGGGTTCCAGGGACTTTTTGCCTACCTTAGAAGAGCCAGCCGCTCGCGGAAAGGCCCTCCGAATGGTCAACACGAAAACACGAGACTCGAAGCGTGTACCGAGCAGAGATCGTACGCTGCTGACCAATCAGATTAAGCTGGCGACGAGGCGAGCGAAAGGGACACATCGGGACCGAGTGAGATAGAGCGATAACAAAGTATGCAATACCGTGTAGCGTCTCTCGGAGTGTCAACCATTGGCCGACGAGAGCGTTATGCAGCCGAACAGAATACCCCTTTTGCCCTTGTGTCCTTCAGTTTATCGTTACATACTTGGTAACTTACGATCTCTGCTTGGTATGCACCATACGATATAATAACTCGAAATTTACAGTGTTTGAATTATTAACAGATGTTGGATTTATATGCAAAATCACATTTTAGAAGGTTGCTGGTAAAGACAAAAACATAAATACAAATTTCTCTCTTCCCTTAAGTATCTTTATTGGGTTCAAAAGGAAACAGAAAACTCGTTGCATCTGATGAAAGTTTTGTTCTTCACTCTTCCACTAAACCCCTCAATTATAGCAATCAAAACATTCAGACTTTCCCTAAAAACGTCTTTTTTTGTTTAATTATGCAGTTATTAAAGCAAATGAGCGATACGTATACTGCATGCGTATTCACGGCGCCACGAGAGATAGTAACCCTCTCGGTGGACTAAATAAAGGTACGTTTCCACGTGACAGTAAATCGTGACTGTTTCGGTCATGACACTAACTGTTATGATTTTTGTCATCGTGAAAACTAGGTATCGCGTTATCGCGACATTGGTTAATAATGTCATAAAGTGTCACGTCTTGTCACGTGAAAACGTACCTTAAGATCAGAAAAGCGGGTACAGGAGGTGTACTCACTTTCGAAGGGTCCGGTATCCTCTTCAAGCCGAGGCCTCGCACTATGCTACGTCTGATGATCTCCAGTTCGCTCTCCTGGAGGACGTTTCTCGTAGTCGGATCCTCTTCTCGGAAAACGTCCTCGAACGCGTCCTCGTAGACGTCCTCGAGACCGGTCGTGCCGTCGAGGCCGAGTCGTGGACCGGTTCGCGACAGCAACGTATCCGCTCGCGACGCCGGCATCGGCACGCCCGATACGGGCGCGCATAGCGCAACCATCGCGATCGCCACCAGGAGAACGGACGATCGGCTCCTCTGGGACACTGTTCCTCGTCGTCGACGACCACGATGATCACCGTTTAATTCGCGAGAATCGACTGGAATCGGACCATCCGCATTCCCGATCACGTGAAAGTCATGCAACGACGCACGGCTGTTTGCCGTCACGACGGAGGATCGAGTCTCACGGGTACATTCAGTTCGTTCGACACGGTTCTCACCGGTGTTCGCGATCACGCCGATCACGGATTTCCGGCTGTCGTTCACAAAATCACACCGTGAATCGACGGAGTCCTCGCTATTCCAAGCACCATCACCACCATCACCACCGTTCGACAGTAGTCTGCACTCACGAACGCGTTCTCCTTGATCCGATTCGAACCTGCGCGACGACAACACGCTCGTGACGATTCTCGGAACTGGGACGTCACCGGTAGCGTACCCGCGAATTGGGATCGCGACGAACGCGGGGCTAGAATTGGCGTTGCTTCCCCGGTACGTGGACACCGACGCTGTCTCCTGTTCCTCCTCGTTATCACGGGTCGTCACGCGTCGTTGACAAGTCGTGGCCAGCATTCCCATAGCCGGCTCGTGGACGGTGGTTCGCGATGGCCCGATCCGGCGGGATGTCTCCACCGTCACGGGGAGCACCTCGCCGCTCGGACGCTCCCCCGGCGCCGCCGATTCTATTTCCCGTGCCCCCTCCCTCCCCGCGCCGTTCCTACGGCCGGCCCGCTCTTTTTTCCCTCTTCTCGAGCGGTGGCGCGGCCCTTTCTTTTCGCCCGTCTCTCCTGCCGCTGTTTTCCGTCCCCTCTACTTTGTAGGATTCGCCTAATGAGCGACGGGCGAACGTGTGTGTCGCGCCGGGGAAAAGACTTCGGTCTTTCCGTTGGACCTGAGATCCCAGGTGAACTTTACAAGAGCACTCTTATAGTTTCCAGTTTAATTTCTCCTCAGGTAAAGAGAGCACGGACACACTGTGTACTAGAATTGCGTTTCTCTCCCGTTTAAATTTCGAATTCAAAAGACGTTCCTCTCGCGAACTCTCAGAGGGTAACCACGATCGATCGTCCACCGGTTCGGTTTCTTCTTTCTGCGCGATGGTAACGGAGACTTCGACGGCGACGTGAACGTCGACGACAGTGGCGGTGGCGACGACGATAACTGCGAAGAGGTTACGGACGGGACCGTGGACGGTGAGGATAATGAGGAACACGGGGGAGACGGTGCCGAGGCGGTCATCTTAAAACGCGAACCGATCGAGGATCCTCGCTCGTCCGCGTGTATTCCTTTCGTTGGGAATCCTTCGATTTCCTTTTTTCGACCGAACGATACACCTTCCGATTCGATCTTTCTTTCTTTCTTCTGTCACGACTTGGCGGAGAAAGCTCGACGCGACGTGTTCAATACGTGTTGCGACCACCACGGGACGCGAAGACGACGACCCGTTCCGTTCGAGTGCCGCGCGTCGACTGTCGAATACCGTGGTAATGCGCGCTCACGTATATATCCCGCTGACTACTCCCCTACTACTACACTACGTCTACTACTACTTGCCCGGGATTAAGTTCGATACGTACTCACGGAATATCAATCGATTCGCTATCTGTATATCGTTTCGTTACAACACGGTAATACCCGTGAAAGTAATCGTTTCGTTTTATAGGTGACGACGAAGCGCCTGTCGAAAATTTGCCACCATGTACACACGCCTCGGGAACACCTGTACGCGAAAGTGCATTTCTTTCGTCTATACTCGAAGGTAAACATTAACCTCGCATTACTGAACTATCCTGTCACTTGGTACTAATCATTCGTGGATATTATAACATATAATATTTTACATAAATATTATTTTTGTTGGGATAGTAACCTACGTTTTAAGTACTTGTGGTAGCCAGGATTTATAATAACGAAAAATTAAACAGAACTTGTACACACCGTTGACAACATCGACGGCAACGTGCCGATTTATGAGAATCACAAATTCGAGCTCGCAATTTTTACGACAGCTTAGTTAATCTAAGGCTAATCTACTTGTCAGAACAGCGGATAATTATCAGTCGCTTACCGTATGAAATTCCAACGCGTAATAATGATCGACGACGTGAAGTTTAGTATAAAATCGTATCTATAGAACCAACACTTCTATTTCTGTTTTTCAGGTAACGCTTAACCTAAAAAACGATCGGAACTCTTAGTACCATCGCAGGTGGCGATCTTTTGGCGATCGATCGCGACACTAGAGATAGAGAAATATCGATAGCATATCGATTATTATCGATAGTTTGCATTATCGTGAACTATCAATGTGTTTTTTATAATTATCGATATTTTCGGTTTGTCAAGGAGCACTTTTTACTGAAAAATAAATGTATGCTGTGATGAAAATGTTTAAACAAAATCAAAGTGAATCAACATCGACAACTTTTCATAACCAAAAAAAGTCACTATATTCATTGTTATACGAAAAAGATAATTTTTGGACAGAAATAATTCACCAGAAGGCGTAGATTAACTTTTATATTGTAAATAGGAAGTTGAGTCCTTTACCAGAATTATGTAAAAAATATTTATCTATACCAGCAATTTCTTGTAGAATCTGTAAGGAGTTTTAGAACAATATCGGATAGAGGGTCAAGAATTAAAGCAAAAAAATCTCACCATGCTTGTTTTTCTAAAACTATATACTGTAAATTATTTATAATTTTATATTTCTTATAAATTAATTTCTTATAATATAATTTGTCCCTCAACTTCACCATTGCTGGCATAGATCGAGACGAATCGGCAACGGGAGGGTTCTAGGCGGTTTCGACGCGCAGTCGTGTCGGTTCAGATCGACGGAAGACGATCGCATTCCGGGCAAGACTCTCGTCGCCTCGGTCGCTACCGAAACGTGAAAAAGACGGCGCTTAAATCGAACCACGTTATCACCGGAAGGACCGTTAAATGGAACAACGTTGACGAGGAAATCGAGAGACAACCAGGCGATTGGAATAATCACGCGCGAGGTCAAAAGTCGGCAAACGACATGAGTGCGCGTGCGAGTTCACCGCCGTTAGGCGATACATACATGTATATTCGGTCGCGACCGGGCCCAAAATTAGGGATGAATCGATACAAGTAAATACGAGTACATTACTCGATACTTTTGTTTCGATACCGAGTACTTTTGACGAAAATTTCGACTTTTTTTTAAACTCACGTTTCTAGAAGATCTCAATAAAAGTACCGGGTAATTTTTCATTCCCCAGTCCGAACAGATCGTATAAAGTGTATGAAGCAACCTGAATGGGTACTACGACCCAGTCATCAACCGGAAGCGACGAACGATACGACGAAGGTACGATTTTCCGAACCGTGAAACCGAGGATGAGCTTTCGGGGAAACGACTCCTCCCTGGAATCACCTTTTCTCGCGACTGGCGGCCTTTTTTCGAGGAACAAAAGCTCTCGCGTGACGTTATTGTCACCCTATATCGCCGTGCCGCGACGCTGACGCGTCATCCGGAGGGGTTTCGCCGCGATTCCCGATAAGTCCCGGGAGTCAACGATCAACGGGCACGACATCGTGTCGCGGGAAAGAACGGAACTGAACGTTAATTGGATGAAACGAGCACCTAGAACTCGTGACGATCGAAAAACTGATTGTTCCAGAGCTGGGGGAATGGCTGGATGTTACAGGGGACAGTTGTTGCGATGCAAGTGAAAAGCTTGCAGTTTTGCGCAGCGGTTTGACAATTAAGGCCCCTTTCCCCTTTTATGGTCGGAAAAAAATGGTGACACTTGGGAAATTTTTTTTAAAATAGCAAAAAAGATATGGTAAGAAGGCTTTCTTTATTGTACATTCATGTAAATAAAAAAAAATATATTTTGTTTCATATACCCATATAGGGTGTCAATTTTAACTGGGCACCTAAATTGTTTTTCCGCTACTATTTAAAGTAGGAAAAAATTACTAAATAGGATGTACATGGTTTTGGTTTTTGACGTGCATCTGATGGTGATAAAATGTTTTTTACTTCTTATTGCGTTATTCATTTTACGTATTTATTAAATTTTCATTATTGCCTTAGATTAAAAAGTTGTAAAAACTAACCTTTACTATTTTCTTCGCCATTCCGACCAATTGCAACTTTTGCAATTTTTTTTACACTTCATTTAGTAAACTAATGTCCCTAACTTCACAAAAGAACTCAAGTCATGTGAACCAATTTGAAAAAAGTTGTTCCGTTTTAAAAGGTGTATGAATAGTTTTGTCCGCTACTTAATTCTTATATCTCACTATACTCCATTTGATAATTTTTTGTATTAGTGTGCCGTAACGTTTTAAGTCACATATCGTAAAAAAGGGTTTTCACCCGTACGAATTAAATTAAATTAAATACCGAACGAATAAACAGCGATCGAAGGGAGAATTACGTGACTCCTGTTACTGGAACCGTTTTGTCCCTTCAATGTGTTCATGTATTAAACGGTGTCTCACTACACCCAAGCGTATACTTATATTTCGCTGTCGCTCGATATTGCCTTCCGTGGCGCCTTTAGTGTTATACCGCGTAAACTTGGTTACGGGTATTACCCGCGATATATCGAGCACACACGCCAGTGAATACTCCTCACCGTCCATATGTATGAGCCACTAAACTTTCCGATTAACGTTTCTTATCCAATATCATCGAAGTCCCCGGCGAACTGTTTCCTGGTACTGTATGTACAATGTTTATGTTTATGCATTCTGGATCCGGCACGCCGGAGAGTCACCGCGACAAATATTCCGTTTCCTGAATTCTCGTGTGTAAGTGTTCAGGAAGTGAAACAAAAACATCCAGCGTTCTTTTTTTATCAAGCATTTGAAATCTCGTACGAGATTTATTTTTACTGTACAATCATTTACAACATTTACATGATACTTAAGTTCTAGTACGTGTTCTAAGTGTGGTTCTTATTTTACATTTTGAGGTTAGCTTTTTACAAAGTTTTGAATCAATGAACAAGCCGCTATGTGTGGTTCAGCAATTATCATTTGTATGCTTAGGGGAACGTATAGTCTAGTTTCTTGCAGTTGTGTAATTAATTTTAATCGTTAAGGGTTGTAAAGACAGCATTGCCAAACAATATAATTTAGCCCCGCGTTCTTCGAAACGAGTTCTTCTGCGTTCGCGGTCCAGAATGCCGTTAAACCCGGAAATTCGAGTTCACCTTTTTTCCTCGACCTTTTTGTTCGTTTCCTGGGTTCGGAAATGCGAATCTCCGATCGAGAGAGAAATTCTTCGTTCATTGGTGACCAGAGATTTCGCTTGCACACCTGTTCACACGGCATTAGAACATCAGGTTCCTTTCGAGAAATTGGCCGTTCGTTTGCGAAAGTGATTAACTTCGCAGATAATTATCGAGCACATTTATGAATTGTGAATTTTTAGTTGAATTCTACAGCAGCTGCACATACTCTGTGTTTGACGAGTATACTCGTCACCTCAACGTTCTAGCGACACAGCTCAGATACACACTTTTAAAAAATGGCATCACAGCTAAAAGGATAGCTAAATTTAGAAGTTGAAGCCCGTGCATTTATTTGTT